ATGCACACATGGCATGCACGTTAATTTACTTTTAAAAGTAACGTAGCAACGTAAGCACAGCAACTCCGCAAATTGTGCGTACAATTTACAAAGGGGCCCAAAATCTTAACCCTTAATACTGACCCTAACAATGTCTATCCTGAATACAAGAAGGGATTTAGATGTTTTGATTAGTTACGTTTATTTGATTCGTTACACAGATGGTCCTGTTTAGCCAGCTGCCCGGCTATTTCACCACGGGAGATCCGTGGTGTGCGTGAGCGCGGCAGCAGCAGCAGCAGACAAAAAACATCGACACGGCAGACAACGCGTACGGCAGGCTCCTCAAGGGACATCGCGGCACCTACTGCCAAAACGCAGGCGGCGGCGGCGGCGCGGAAAGACGCGTGCGCTCGGTGCAGAAACAGCCCGCGACGGGGCTTACGCTCTGGCACGCCTCTCGGTGTGCGCGGCGGCAATTACCGGGAGGTGCCGTCGTTTCCCAGCCGCCTTTCGGCGCTCTTTTGCGTCGCCGTTTGACCGGCCCGACCCGCGTCGGCAGAGAGCCACACTCGACGCACGACGCCCGCACTCGTCGCACGCTCAAGTCCGTGCGAGTCGGGAAGGCTTTTCCCCGCGTGTCGCGATGTCTTGGCGGAGCTTCCGATTCGTCGGATTGTTGGCGGCTCCACGCCGGTTGTGGGAGGGTGCCGCGTACGTGCCAACCGGTGCTTTGGGAGGGGGGGGGCTGCCCCCTAAAGCGCACCACTTGCCGTAGTCGCATTGTTTGCAGGCATCTCGTATGCAAACCCATATTGAACTCATTACTCTGTAGGGTGCATAACAACATTAAGGTCAGTGTATGAGTGGGCCAGCAGTGAGTGATTCAAGTTCAGATAATGTATGGATTATTGGGCTCTTCCTTTGAATATTTCAATTGATTCAGGAACCGTAGTGTCAGATCAATTCTTGCTTAGGTGCAAACTAGGGGAAGGGTTCAGGGCTTTGAGAGAAAACAAGCCGGCAAGGCAGTATGTGGAGAGAGCCTCGTTTTTGTGAGGGTGGTTGTCAATACAAATGCCCTGTGTACACTCAAGAAACACAAACAATAGGCACATACATAGATCCCCCGTATAGCCTTAACACACTGTTGGGGCAAGTGCTGTTAGCGAGCACCTATGAAGGCCAGCACGGCACACGAGGGGGTGGGCGGCCAGCACCATGCCCGACCGCCTTTGTCTCCCTAGTGATGATGTTTACACACTGCACCAGGTACTTAGTTGAGGCTGAGTCGACCTAGGGGAAGCCGAGGGCCGGTTCAGATAATCGTCACTGATGTTGGCCGTCAGCGGGAATCACACCCGGGTCGCCAGGTTCGTAACACAGCGTGCTAACTGCTACACTACCGCTCCCAGCAAGATTATATATGCCTCACACAATGGGCGCGTACGACACATTGTGCGCTGGTGGAATGGGCACAAAGCAAAGCACTAAGGTATATCTCTGCATTGCTTTAACTAAAAACATGTTTGAGAAGTATTTAATTACAAATATTTTTTGTTAAAAAAATATATATCCAGATCTACACCATAATTTTGGTCATTTTCCGCTCTGATTTGAAGCAATTATTTGAGGAATTTTCCAGGTTCCGCAGGCTGATGAACACGTCCCCTTCACGAATGGAAAATGAAAGACGCGAGCCACAGGGTTGCGACTGTGGCCATGCAACTCGACCAACAGAGCATGTAGTAAACCCATAGATACCTATAGATATATACATAGAGATACATTAAAGACAGAAGTGAGATCGTGGCCATGCAAACGAAACTATGGATCACACAAGTAAACCCACTGTGATCAACGAAGGAGCAGGAACAGCAAAACGACACGAACTCTCTCTCTCTCTCTCTGTCCTGAAGCCCTCTCGTCGTCGCCGTCATGCACGAGAATAGAAGACCGAGAGTGTTTGTGAAAGATGCAGATTGGCTCCTTTTGGAACGCGCCGCGGAGTTTCAACTCCACGGTTCGGAAAGGCTGCGCAATGGTAGTCGCAACGGCCGTGGATGCACAACATCACGGGGCGTTTAGCGGACGGAGTTTCTAATCCCCTTTTCAATAAAAACACTCGGCCATTGCTAATGCGAGTGCCGAACGGCACTTTTCTCTGTAGCCAATGGATTTTTTCTGTGCTTTTTTTCTTCTCAATTTGGCTGTGAAGGTTTAAAACAAAAAAAGCCGAGGTACATCAAATGGCCTGCGCGCGTTCCGAAAACTAAAGTCTATACAATCCAATCGATACTGCAGATGTCATTTATTTAACCAGGTGGTCGTTAATTTAATAATCTGGCTTACAAGAGAGAGGTGGACTCATAGGGTACTTTAAAATTGGAGATTAGTGCTCTGTGTGCATGCATTTTAAACTTCTTTCGCACCATTCATAGCCAACCGTGCTAATCGGAGGTGCGGAAGAAGGACAACAAACTAAACACAATTAGCAGTTCTAAAGAAATTAGTTTTAAATTAAAAAATTCACAGCCTAAGTGGCTACCTGATATCGGAAGGAAGAGCGTTCCAGACAGCCGCAGAAACGCATCTGAAAGCGCACGATGCTCCGGGAGTGTCGTCTAAATCCTCGCTCGTACTGATAGGAACCACCTGGTTCCACCAGCCCACAGGGGATTATTGTGTCCGTCCGTCCGTCGTGAATCCAAAAATGGGGGGGGTGGGGCTGGGTGGACAGGGGAGGGTCTGGGTGAGGAGGTTGGGGAGGGGCTGGGTGGGGAGGGGAGGGTGGGGGGGGGACTGGGTGGGGAGGGTGGGGCTGGGTGGGTGGTGGGAGGGGTTGAGCTGGGTGGGGAGGGGAGGGGAGGGGCTGGTCACCCCGTGGTGCCCTTATAAAACTCAACGTTCAACCTACTCACGCCGGCTTGTGCCCGCCCTCACAGTCGGGCATATTTGCAGAATACACCACGCCACCGTTGACCCTGGCCTTTGACCGAGCAACCAAACGTTCCTACCAGCTCCCTCCGCAGGAATGTGTTCATATTTGGTTTCACACGGCGCCGTACATGTCCATTTATAATCCACTTATTGGTGGTGGCTGCAGGCATTGGATCACAACGGTTTATTCAACTTTCTCTCTCGTACCCCATGAAAATATCCCTGCCGAGTATTATGAATGCACATCACATGTTCCCCAGGACTGATAGCTGTGCACCTGTGGCAATGGAGCATAATCACCTACATGTCTAAATAAACATCGCAAAACACGCCGGTCTTTGTAGGCGAACATCTGATCCATCCATCGATATGTAAGAATATATTTTAAGAATCCACTGCTGGAGGAGGACCTACGCTTATTCGTGTCTGTTATCCGGGGCTGTTTCAATCATACTTCACCACGCTGGTCAGTGTGTGCTGGTGGAGGAAGGAGCAATGGACTGATTCACATACCGCTTGCTACTTCTCTCCGTCGCGGCCGCCAAAAGAACCCAATGCTTGATGGGTTCATACACAGTGAGCGAACCACCACGCCGCCGTTCCACTGCGTACGCCTAAGCATTGACCTATTTTCATGTACAGTATGCCGTTCACACGTACATCACCTGTTCAGCTCTTATGTTTGTGTGAGCCCGATGCGCCCGATAGCGCTCGCACGCAAGACATTACATTCACACGCGCGTGGTGAAGGCCAAATAATTATGAAAAGTTGCACCGGTGTAATTTTAGCAACAGGAGAATGCCCAAGACATCAATAAGGCCGGTACAGATGAAGGATTATCGAATAACCCATCGATTGTTCACTTTTTTTGGTTGAGGCATATATAATCTTGCTGGAAAAAAAATTGGTTAATTATTCAACAGATGAATAGATTGATATCTCACGGAATTATAGGTCTAATTAATGTAATGTCTAATTACTTAAAGTATCCCTACCTGCAATTGGATAATTATCCCCGAGTAAAATAATGTTATGCTAAACAGAGCCAGCCAATTTAAACATTGAATTTATTAATATTGCCCTGAACGAGCAAATACGATTGTACTCTCAAAAGCAAATATCCCAGGAAAACCTCCCCGATTCTAAAGTTTAACTCAATGTTGCTTTATTTAAACCATCCTCTGACCTCGGTGGCCACAGCTTCCGTATTCAGCGTTGTTTACTCGGGTGGCCAAGGGGTCAGAGTGATTTCCACCTCCAGTTTTCACACATCCCCTGCTGTGCAAACACAAAACTATATCCTGAAAATGTTACTGTGAATGTTGTTTTTTTAAAAGTAATTTGTCCCTGCCAACTGTTGTTACTGGAAATGTATTTCATTAAAATACTGATTATATTTGTGCACACTTTTGAATTCCATCAGTAACACAGCATTATAGTTTGCGCTAATTTCTAATTGCTTGTTTCTCCCCCCCCCCCCCCCCCCCCTCTGATTTCTATTGCCTTCGTTGTGTTTGTCCATTTACGTGACACCTGGTTGTATTTTGATTTAAAGCTGTCGTGACTGCAGGGATTCATATTCTTGGTTCTTTCGGTAAAGTCACGTAGAAGGGAAATAATAAAATAATACAAATATAAAACAATAAAAATTCTCACGACGTTTCGACTGCAACACAAGCAATCATCATCATGTGTGAAATCCACAGCAAGAAAACGTCGTGAGAATTTTTTTTGTTTTATATTGTATTACTTTATTATTTCCCTTCTACGTGACTTTACCTGGTTGTATGTTGAACTTCTTTTGCACCGTACGTAGCCGACCCTGGCTCGTCACCCTTGCGAACGAGACTCTTCCCTTAATCTCGACACATTTGCCACCTGTTTGAAACGACAATAGACGGGGGACTTTAAAACTATCCCACAATTTACTCTCCGGGTAGAGGCGCCGGCCCCGCGATTGTTTGCGCTGCCAATGCTCGTACACCACACAGAGAGAGAGAGAGTGAGTGATCGAGAGAGAGTGATCGAGAGCGGGCGAGCGCGCGGCTTCTCACGCGTTGCGTACGCGTGCTCTTGGCAGGCGACGGGCTGGACAACGGCATGCTGTCCGGGGACGACGACGAGCTCGACAAGGAGCGCAAGCAGCAGAAGAAGCGCGGCATTTTCCCTAAGGTGGCCACCAACATCATGCGCGCGTGGCTCTTCCAGCACCTGACGGTACGCGCCCCCCCCCCCCTCCCCGCCCCCCCCCCCCTGTGGCCCTCGCCGCTCCGCCCGCTAACCGTGTCCCCGCAGGGCCGCCGCCGCCGCCACTCCGCTCGTGTCTGGCCGTGTAGTGGCGCGTGGACTTGCGATCGGCGTCAATCAGTGATCGCGACGCGTGCAAGCATTTGACGCACCGATGAGTCATTGTTGCGGCTCACGCCCATTGAGTTGTAGGACGCTTCACGCGGTCCCTCACCGACTGAGATACATTACAAAGCTCGCGATGCGCACATCGCATCGCGCGTGAGAGAATCGGTCGCTTACAATCGGCAGGAATGTCACTCGAATGCTACGTTTAGAATAACGGGACAAACAAAAACTAAACGTGTGAGATGATTTTTTTTTCATAATGAGAAGCGATACACATGAGATGGGGGAAAATTGAGACGAGCAAAATCGTGAATCCTTCAATTGAATTGCAGCCCCCCCCCCGATTTGCCGTTACAATTCATCACATCCCAGTCGTTACTCGCGCGATCACGTGACCAGACCTGCTGCTCACCCCTCCTGACAATGTCAATAGGGCTGAGTTTGGCTTCTGGATACGGGAGTTGGGGTGTTCACGGAGGCCTTCCTGTCAACAAGTGCAACGCGACGATGAGTGTCACGCCTTGATGGAGGGGGACCATAATAGCCCTGCTGATAGCTCTCGTGTTAGACCCACTGGCATATTCACGAAAACTCAAAACACACGTGCGATGTTGACGGGTGTTTTGCAAGTGTCAATGCCTGTTCACGTACGATTGGCGCTTACGGGAGGTGAAGGTTAAACGCAGGCTGTGCGTTTACGGGGTAGCATCTCTAAGCGAATCCTCTCACTTCATTGTCCGCTGATGTCTTGTCAAACCGACGTTGTAAATAGAAATTCATGAAACGCGATATATGCAGAGGCACTGGCACAAAAAAAATGGCATGCAAAAATGTCATGCATCAGTATGCTAATTTACTTTTCATTATGATATACTTCAATTATGCAAATATAATATTGCGTCGTTTTTCTGATGATTTTTTTTAGCTCATTGACTCGACGATGAATAGCACTTACGCATCCCGGCGAAGATGATAATAATCCTCACAGTTACCGCGAGACTGTGCAGAAAATCCCAAAGAAACAGATTACTGTGGCTTATTCGAAAGCAGTCGACAGTTAGAGCTAATCCGTTAAATGCATAAGCTTACAGAAGAAGGATTGACATTTGTATTTTTTCTTGGAGCAGCCTGCCCTATAGCTAATTGAAGTTGTTGGGGCCATGCCATGCATAGATTACAAGTGTTTATGCCACAGGACGCTCCTTGCTCCGTAATGGAAACGTATACACATTAGAGTAGGCTCCCGTCGTGCGTGGAGCATTGATCACTGAAGTGTCCCAAATGCGCGCACGTGTTTCTAAATTGAGATAATGTTGCGTGTGGGATTATCCCTGCGACCATGAATGCAGTAGCCAGGCGACTCCGGGGACTAATCGCAGTGTGCATGTCTGGCTGATGTTTGCTCTTCCTCTGAAGCCAGAACTGTTGTGGTGCTGTGTTTAAACACAGAACTCCCACCTGAGATTAAACTCCACTCCCAAATGTATTGCAATAGATAGCCTTGAGCCCTGGTTACCATTCATGCAATCAGAAAACTTTTGGGTGATTGCCCTTCATTCAACAGTGAGGGCTCCTTATTCAAGCAAGTAGGCACACTACAAATCATTCTTCTTTGGTTTTTTCGGTAAAGTCACGTATAAAGATAATAAATTAAATAATAGCATACGACGTTTCGATTGCAACACAAGCAATCATCATCAGGTATAATGAAATAGCGACATAGAATCTAACCAGAAAACTATAGACAGACATGTAAGCAGACAGATATCACCAAGATACACAGGGAGAGCAACCCAGGTACAGAGAGAGGTGATCGTCTCTGTGGGGTGGCCTTAAATAGACAGAGGGGGGCGGAGGCAGAGAGAGGGAGGGGGTAGGGAAAAAATTGACATGTCAATGAGTACGAAGGGACGCGTAGTAAAGTACGCAGGCTTAGAGGGAGACAGAACACACTAAATTAAACAACCTAGCAAAGTATCGAAATGTTATGTAAAACGATGTGGGTGAAGCGGAGACGCTCGCCGTTACGTATGAAAGCTCCCGTCGGGATGTCGCGTCACAACACCACCTCCGAGTTGTGTGTCTGCGTAATCTGCGGCTTCGTGCTTGGATGCACATCGTACACTTGGGACGCAACCGGTGAAAATACCAAATACCAAAGCTAAATTACCACACACCAACTTCCTTCCCCCCCGCAACTCCGATTAGCACGGTTGGGCTACGTACGGTGCGAAAGAAGTCCAACATCCATACAAACGCGTGCTTAAGACTATTAGCACACAGCTTCACAGTCTCACCTGGAAAACTGTGTTTTGAGTGGCACGAAGTGATTAGACATTGCAGGGAAATCACTTATATAGCACTTTTGCTGAGCAAAATTCATTAGAAATAAGCGCACAGAACGAGAGTCTGGCTCTCAATTCTTACCACTCAGTGCACCAGATGTCTTTCTTGAAAAAAAGCCATCGCACCATCGCCACGGTGACGGGACCCATTGGAGACTTTGGTAACGCGAAGAAAATTACAAACAAAAATGTACATCCGTAAAGGTTGTGCTTTTGCGTCCGGCCGATGTTGATGTAGAGGCAACGATTGTCATTTTACACCGAGGTGGCTGAGCCAGGTGATTGCGTCAAGAATCGCGGAGTGAACCTGGCACTGCGACCAGGTGTTTAAAGGGCGCTACGGTGCTGCAGTAAGGGTTTTTTGCTCTCGAAACTTTACAAAAGCACGACCAGATGGTTGGATAGTGTTCGGACAGATCTTGGAGAGTTTGCTTGCCTATTCTAAAGCCAATAGGCTGATGGCCTAAAACATAATTGTATGCCTGTGGAGATGCAGAGGGCAGTTTTGCATTTCAATGATGTTATATATTCAGTGGCTGGAACTAAAGGTTTGCGGCCTGACTATTCACTTGCTTTAATTTTGTATTGACACACAAACCAATGAGGGGTGTGGCTGGCTGGAAATAAAATCGTTATGAAAAAGTAAAACGCACAACGCAGACGTGCATGTCACACCCCCTTCTTCCCGGCTCCCGTTACATCGCTCAAAGCCAGCAGTTATGAATAACCTGCTCGGGCACAGACTGTGTGAAATGTCATTCGTTGTCGCGTAACCGTGAAGTTCAACTCACACAAAGCTGCTTCCAAAATGCTCCCCCATCCCCCTCCCCACAATACATCTGACCGTGGGATAGCTTTGTGCTTTAGCGATGAAGTTGTGTTTCATTGGAAGGCCATGAAAATTGCTTCTTTAAACTCACACCCACCGGTGTTTACAGAGCGCTGGGACTCGGCAAGATTCGTGTACACTTCTGCAACATCCACTCTTTTGGGTGATGTTTGGAAACGTGTTCGTGCGGCGATCTATATTTGCAGGGTTCCTGCGCAGTACATTGCGTGGGCTCATCGCTTGAATCCTGCTCCATGCCCCCCTCGGGAGTCCTCTGAGAAGCGCTCCCTCGCTGGCTATGAACCGTATTTCCACAAGGCCTCAGTTGAGCCTTCTCCGACTACTTTTTTGAGCCCTTGATAAGCGCCGTTTTGAAGCTTCCCTGGCTCGGTTTAATAAAAAAAAGTATTTAAGGTTCAGACGAGCCCATTTACCTTGCAGTGGTTTTTGGACTGTTTTCTACACGGCCTCAATTGTGCACTTGCTACCTGATTGATACGTTTAATTTTCTAAGCGTGTGTTAAGTAAGCTCGCCCCGGTTTCAAAGTCGCAACTTTAAACGTTTCGGTTTTTTTTTCCTTCGGACGCTTTTGAACTCATTCAGCCACCCGTTAAACACGCATTTCAGACACACATTGAATAAACTAACAAGCAAAGCGACACCATTCTCTATCGGCCGTACGGGCAGGGAAATGAGCTGTGTGAAATACTGCTGACTGGCACCGTGGTTGCCAAGGCCCACCATGGAGTCTACGTTGCGTTATTAAAAGCTATTAAAGTAATAGGTTTAAATTAACTGAATATGGAGCTGATTCCAAAAAGAGAGCTGTGAGGTAGGCAAACGTAACTTGGCGTTTGTGGCGAGCTATCAAAGAAGACATTATTATTGCCGTACGATTGATACCGGATCCAGTGTTCAACTCCCACAATCCCCCAGTAATTTTGCGGGGATATTATTTTTAAAAATCTCTATTGTTTACCGCTCATTGTAAAATAAACACAGTTCACGGGAGGAGTAAAGTTGTGTGCCTGTATCTTCGCCAAACCTCCATATTTTAACTTTACCCACAATTCATTATATTGTAATGTGTAATGCTTTCACTGCTTTGGTTTATATGCTTGTTGGCCAGGTTCGTGGGATAGGCAAAGGGGCAGCCCCTGCAATTGCTATGCTCACGCCACTGTTGGTGGAAGGGCCTCCGCTGGAGGGAGCTCTAGAGAGCCCCTTCTAGACGATATTTTGGTCTACTCTTCCACGCTGGCGAGACGACTTTGAAGAGGGTTAGTGAATAATGAGGTTCCAAATCACGAGAATTTGAGTTAAAATACTTCATGTATTATACTCGTCAGATGAGTAAATTGTGAAACATACCAACAGTGCCGCTTGAATAGAAAGTCAACAGTTGTCTTGCCAGGTACTTCTCTCTGCCATTGGAATGTTGAATTTTCCAAGAAGGCTAAAGACCACCAACACAAATTATCATGACCCAATGCTTATTTGTTTAATCGGAATTCTGATCTTTTTTTGTAAGGCTTGAGGTGATGAATCTAAGTGGGCTGTCGCATTTTAGAAACGATATCTTTAAAGTATTTTTTTCCATTATTCAGCATATCTCTTATTCTTTTTTTACTGCTGCATGGAGACCAACGCCACTGTTTTCTGTGCATTGCCTTGTGCAGCTGCAAAC